AAAAAAAAGAGGGGGACAAAAGTCCTCCACAGCGATGTGAAATATGCTTTGCCAGTTATCACAAATGCTTGATTGCAGTTGTTACTACTAAAGGTGGAACAACCAGGTATTAAGTTTAGGCAGCAATTAATGTCGATGCATTTTGATTGTAGGGTTTTCTGCTGTGTGTATTTAAAATATCATAGTTCTTCTGCCACTGGTTATGTGACTGATATCAAATATGCACAAATTATCAACCCTGCAAAAGGATAAGTGGAAGTGAATGGATGGATATCAAACCTTTTCCAGTAGTTTCATACTGTCATGTGCCATTTTGCTCTTTATTTGTTAGGAATCACACAGACAGTGACACTGCATGTGTGTATAAGATAAAAGAGTTCTTTGAAACAACGTCGTAATACCTCTACTGCTGTTCTTCCCGCAGATCACATGGATAACAAAAGACGTCAGCTGAGACCTGCGGTGAAAATGTGGAGGGCAAAAAGCTCAAAACCAACCTGTACTAACAAGCTCCAAAACTTTCAGAAAACGTCTGGCAGGATTAAAGTGATTAGTCTCTTATTTAGATTTACTAGGCATGCAGTCGGGGAACTGATTTGAAAACTATTTTTGTTCTATTTGGAAAGCTGAATATGACTCAACCACAGCTAACAAATAAAAATCACAATGGAGTCCTTTGGCATAAAGTCTCTATACATATCCTTAATAGTTCCTTCAGGCAGTTGCTTGGTTAATTCATCCGGATCTTAGTGTGGCTCACAGCTCTGCTGTCAGGTGATCATCACAAGACCAGTGGCTTAATCCTCCTCTACAAAAGCAAGAACAGAAATCAGAGGCTTTCTTAATGTGCATGGAGGCAACTGGAACACAACATGATTTAGCTGCAGGAATTGTTTCTGTAGATATTAAACCTATCACTGAATCTAATTCAAAGATACACAGCAAGGAACCGTAGCAGAGTGAGATTCCACACTCTTCTGGGGTAACTAATTGAGCGTATTACAGCTGAGATTTGATCTACAAACTGATTTGTCACTGCTGACTGAAAGAAACAGGTGATATATCATGATTGCTCTGGGTCTTGGTCTTCTTTGTTTACTCTTTGGCCCTGACCTGTCAGAGGCTCAGTTTCCTCGAGTGTGCTGCACAGTGGAGGGGATTTTGTCCAAGCAGTGCTGCCCTGCTGTGGGCTCAGACCCTGCCAATGTGTGTGGCTCACTGTCGGGAAGAGGAAGCTGCACTGCTGTTCGAGTCGACACCAAACCCTGGGGAGGACCGTACAGACTAAGGAATGTTGATGACAGAGAGAGGTGGCCGACCAAATTCTTCAATCAGACTTGCAGATGTACTGGTGGGTGCTGACCAGCTTATTTAGATAAATAAGACAAGTTAAATCCGTAAATGGTTAAAGTAGACTTAGATTTAACTAGGTAAAGGGTTGTGTTAAACCTTGTCTGTTGTCTGCTTTTTATTTAATGAGGCCTTCTGTTGAGATTCTTAGCAGTAGTAACTGTTTTTATCTTTTGCATTTAAACTGCATTTTTAGGTTTTATTATTTTGTTGTACAGTGTTTTGTGACTACATGTTTGTGCACAATTTGACAATTAATTTGCTCTTTATGTTGCAGGTAACTTTGCAGGTTATGATTGCGGCCAGTGCAAGTTTGGCTGGATCGGACCAAACTGTGACCAGAGGAAAGCTCCCGTTGTGCGGAAGAATATCCACTCCTTGACCCCTGAAGAGCTCCAAGAGTTCCTGGACGCTCTGGAACTGGCCAAGAGCAGCATCCACCCAGACTACGTCATCGCCACTCAGCACTGGCTCGGACTCCTCGGACCAAATGGAACCGAGCCACAGATTGCCAACATCTCCGTTTATGACTTCTTTGTCTGGCAGCATTACTACTCTGTTAGAGACACTCTGCTTGGTAAACCATCATGGTCATATTTACACAAAACCACTACAACCATTAAATGTGTGGTTTTTTTTTTCCAGGAATATAACAATAATAAAAATATCAAATAAGACAAATACTATACCTACAAAGCAGATTCCCCCTTTTTTAATGAAATTTTATGAAGCCTGACAAATTCCAAGTATAGACCTTTTTTACTGTAACTACAAAAATTCTGTAACATATAAACTGATAAGAGGAATGCTTTTACTTAACTTTTTGTTTTACGTTCTCATATGTTTGTTATAAAATTCATATTCTTAGGCATTAGATATAGTGTTTATTAAGCTCAGAACTGTTGTGAGACTAAAGAGGAGCTAATGAAACAATTCATTTTCCTCCAGGTCCAGGTCGTCCCTTCAAAGCCATTGATTTCTCACACAAAGGGCCAGCATTCATTACTTGGCACAGGTATCACCTCCTGAGTTTGGAAAGAGAACTCCAGGTATTTGGAATTTTGTATTATTTTTGTATTTTTTAAACATCTCTTAAAATATTATATTTTTTGTGGTGGAGAGTAGAGGAGTGTATCCTTTGCACAACAATTTGCATTTTTTTTAAATTTGGGCTCATCAGATTTTTAAATTGCGTGCACAATTCTTGTTTAAATTCACTGATGAAACATAAATGACCTGTCAAAGGGACATCTGTTTAAAGCTCAGATTATTGCATGTTATATTCAATAAGCTTACTGATGACTAACATTTTGGTGAAAAATTGACAGACAAATCATTCTTAGAATATTTCACAAAGACACTTTAAACTTGCATTAAAAAAAAGACAATAAAAAAAATGGTATACCTAAAAATTATATATATAAAATATAAACGAGAGAGAGTTGGCCCTATAAAACATCCCTATAGAGCCATGTTGCTGATTTAGCAATACTTTTTCATAGAAACACGAGTGTTTCCTTTTCTTCTGCAGAGACTTACTGGCAATGAGAATTTTGCAATCCCATATTGGAACTTTGCCACAGGGCAGAGTGAGTGTGATGTGTGTACTGACACTCTGCTGGGAGGCAGAAACCCAGACAACCCCTTCCTCATCAGTAACCAGTCCCGGTTCTCCAGATGGGGGGTGGTGTGTAACAGGTCAGAAGAAAATACTGATTGGAGGGAAACAATTGTCAGTAATTGTATTAAAAATGTGTAACCAATTAACGAATGTTCATGGTACATGTTGGTGAAACATTTAAATTCTTTACGTGTATCTAATTTATTTCCAGTCTCGACGACTACAATCGTCTCGTGACCCTTTGTAATGGAACCAGTGAAGGTTTCATACAGAGAGGGATGATCCGGCAAGGCAACAGGACTCTGCCTACAATGACTGACGTCAGAAGCTGTCTTGGAATTCGGGACTTTGACAGCCCTCCCTATTTCACCAACTCCTCCTTTAGCTTTAGGTAAAAGTGGAGTGTTCACCATTGTTAATGATGTTACATTTATGCCACCTCTTTCACAGAACAAATGAATTAATGCTGTTGTTTGTACCTAACAGAAATGCTCTCGAAGGGTACGACAAACCAGATGGAGAACTGGACGAAACCGTTGATAACCTTCACAATCTTGTCCACTCAATGCTCAATGGAACCAGCTCGTTGGCTCACTCTGCAGCCAATGACCCCATCTTTCTGGTGAAAACCTAATTCAATGGTTTCCTCTGATAAAAAAAATCTCTGAAACACTTTGTTTTAATTTTAATAAAAATGAAATTTGTCATTTGTACCTCGCAGGTGCTCCATGCTTTCACTGATGCTATTTTTGATGAATGGATGAGAAGGTTTGTTCCATCCAACGCCACTTTCCCAGATGAGATGGCCCCCATTGGACACAACAGAGACTACAACATGGTTCCCTTCTTCCCTTCCATTACTAATGAGGAAGTGTATGTTCCATCTGAGCAGCTGGGATATTCTTATGCCATTTCCCTGGATGGTGAGCAAATAGTGAAAGAAAAACTTTGATCGGTGGGATAGGTGGACATTTTTGGAAAATTGATGTAATTTCTTACTGGTGAGAGTAAAGATTGATTTCACTCAAGTGTGTACAGTGTGCGTGAAGCAAAGAGTTAGCCTGGGTTTGCATGAAGAGTAGACATACCTAACCCATACAATTATTAAAGAAAAAAAATAAACAGAATTTTCTAAATTAGACTGCCAACATGAGCGGTTCAAGACCAAAGTCTGAAAATGACAGATTATGGTTTTAATGGATAGTTTTTTGGCAAACTTTCTCAATTATATATACGCCACTGACACGTGTGGCCTTTCAGTGAACACTAATAAAACAGGGCAACATTGCATGTTTCAAAACAAATATCAACTCACTGCCGACCACTTTCAAATCCATGGCACTGGCTCATCAACATAAAAAAAAACCCCTCTTTTTGTTATGTTGGAATAAATATCTTCTTATTTACAGATTTCATTCACATTCAATGAACCTGCAACTGCAAAGGTTTCAGCAATCCATCTCCTGTTTCATCTATACAGATGCAGATGGAGGACCGGCTGTTTTTGTGCTGGGCTCCACTCTGGGAGGAATCTTCATCGGTCTCCTGGTACTTCTCCTTATCTTTGTGCTCTACCTGCGTCAGCGGAGAAACAGAGGCTTTGAACCTCTGATAAAAGCAGATTTCACAAATAGAAAGTACACAGAAGAAGCCTAGATTTCACCTGTTGTTCTGAAATGCGCTTGAGTGCTCAAACATACCTCATAGTAATGGAGCACCCTGTCTGCTGTCACGACTGTGAAGAAGAGCAGAATAATAATCTTCTCTTTGAATAGCATGTTGTTTTTTAGCTGTTGCATCTAATTTCATGTTAGCAAATGAATCACACGATTGTTCTACCAAGTACCTCGCACTCTTAAATCAGTCTTCAATTAAATGCATTTCTACTTTAACCAGTTTTAACCTGATTTACCATCTCAATCATCAATATATATAAAACATATATGATTACAAATTGTTTTTGGGTTTTTTTTAAATAAGAATTTATTCTCAAGAACAGCAATAAAACAAAAATGCAATCATCTTAATTGCACCAAAAACAGTAAGGCATATTTGCTCAACTAGTTCTTCAAACCTCAGTTTGAAATTATTTTAAAACCCCATAGAAACCTTTCCTCATTAGTTTTGAAATCAAACAGCAATGCATTAATTCTGAAAAACAAACAAAGAGATAACAAAAAACCCAAACTGAGCATTTTTGTGAGTCATAATTTGTCTGACCATACATCCATTTTCAATATTTTATTGCAAAAATATTAAAGGTTCAGTGATACAAAACAATAAAAAGGGCATCTTATGAGATCAAAATGTAGAATAATGGGTCCTTTTAAATGAAACTTTGACATATTTCCTCTATATTCTTGAAATAAATGTGGGTTAAAAAAGTGACTCGTATGAAATAAAGAAAAAGCTCAACAAATATTCAGTGATATGCCGCAAAGGACTTAATACAGGCTAATTCCTTGGAAATGTAAGCTTAGCAGGCCTGTTGGTTATGAACCTGTCGGGCTCTCAGAGAACAGTGGACGTACATACAGGCTGGTTTTGTCCGCCCCCCTCAGCACGGCCAGGCCTCTCACATTCTCCGTAAGTACGCTCTAGTGAGGAACTTCACTGAAGCATTCAGCTCTGTCCAGTCTCCACAGATTCTCATTTCACAGGTGACTGTGGCCAGCTTCAAGCCTGTCTGTGCTGCAGACGCAACCATTCAAGCTTTCCAGATAAATTTAGAGACCCTTTCTTTACATTTCCAGTAACCACTATGTGCTGTTGCTGCTTCTTCTCCTAATATTTCCATAACCTTTTGCAACTATTATATATAGATGTATATAGATATAGATCTATATATCTATCTATCTATTTATATATAATTTTCTTTCTTTTTTTAAATTTGTAATTTCAACTTGTTAATACTGTCACAAAGTATTTTAGTTTTGGTCCTACAGTGTTCATTTACACACAGAATATGCGTTGGTTACTGAACCTTAAAAATAAGAGGGAAAACAACATTTACAGTATTAATGAATCATCTCAAAATCCTGTAAATATTTCTAGAGTATTTTTTGAAAATGCTAAAAGCCCCAGTTACTGTAAATTAACATCGAGGTTACAGCAGCCCAAGAACTGATAGTAATGGTCTTCGAGTGCAAAATGGTAAACGTCCATTTACACAGTTAAAGAAGATAATCCTGCTTTTCAGTGACTTCACATGACCTCCTCTGTGCTGGGAGAAGAACACTTGTATGCAGCACTTAAACACCTCTTTGTATTTGATTAGTTTTACTGACAAGTTTGCATTTTAGTGGTTGCATGAGACCCATTGTGCAACCCTTAACTTACTAATTATATTATCAATCACAATATTTGACATGGTATAAATATATTTTATACCAGGACATGCACACCACAACGCTGCAGAGGCAGCATCTACCTTGACAGCATAACCCATATATTAGCGGCACCTTCTCTAAACGTGAGTAACTGCTCCATAATAAATCTGTCCAGGCTATCTACTCTTGAAGCCTAAGGATCCAGTTTGATATGAGAATATTTTTGCACATAATGAATTTGCTGCAAGGCAAATTAGTATATAAAATGTCAATCTTAACCCTAACAGTGACTTTAAGCACAATGCAGCTGCTGAAAGGTTTTTAAGAGAATAGCTAAAAGCTGTGCAGATGCATAACCAACCCATGACATAGTTTAACTACAATCTTTCCATATGACACAGTTAAAATGATTGTGAAACACAATTTAGAAGCTGCATTTGATCTAAAAATAAACATGACAGCATTACGCTTCTCATCAGAAATGAATAGTTGGCACATAAGTTCATGACAATGGAATAAGGTGTCAGTTAAAACCACATGTTCCATTCAGATCAAATCAAAGGATCCTTTGCTTTAAAAAAATAACACGTGTATAAAATGACCACATTCTCAACATTTTTTCCAACACACAATAAACTATTTTTTTTGCAATAAAAAAAAAATCAAAACAATCAAAGTGCGTGTTATATTTTTCCACATTAAGACCTACAATAATACCTTTACTAAAATCTCAGAAGCAGAGTTAGTAGGGGTGGCATCGCTGTTAGATGGTGAAGTGATGCCAAAACATATCAAGTCTAAGGATGGCACTGCACAATCTTTGGGAAAGTGGGAACTCATGATGCTTGACTGCTCTCTTTTTCAGAGCAGACTCTTCTTGCCTTGAAGCTGGCAGTCTGAATGCTGTCTGCTCCAATCTGCCTGAATACAAAAAACTGCAAAAAAAAAGGGAAAAAAAGGAAAAAAAACAAACCCCTGCTGTCCATGTTTAGCCTGTTCCTCTAGCATTATCTCCACTGTCGCTGAAGTGCCAAGGCTGAAAGGGCCAGCATGGTTGGCAGTGCTACAGATGGTGCACAGAGCGGGGCAGAGTTATCCACAGGCCCGCTCCGGTCGGCTCTCACCACGGGGATTTCAGTCGCAGCCGTACCGTCCATGTATGTGGGGCAGACCTCTGTGCAGCCGCTGCCACTGCCTGAGCCACTGCCTTCATCGCCTGCAATACCGTAACACAAGCCAGAATGAGCACAGCACTGCAATAGCAGTGTAACATTGCTCAAAATCTCCAGCAGACACTGTGGAACTTTCTCATGTATAAATTAAAGGGTTTAAATATCACATGATTATCACCCACCTGGTGGGAAATGTGTCATTCTCTGTTTTCCTTTAGTCTCTTAAATTGTCTTAATTTTACGGTCAGCACATTGTATCACAAACTCAGTGTTGTTCAGATATGCTAATATATACACACTACACGCATGCTAAACAGTAAATAATAAACAGACACTGCCTGGTTAACACAGTCAAGCATTCAGCTTCAAATATATTTCTCATCAACTTATGGGAGACTTAAAACAATTCTTAAATTAGACTCAATGCTAAACTTTTATTCATCAAGTAGACATTAAGTAAAAATCTGCAAAGATGTTTAAAAAATGTGTCTCCCTATTTCTACTGCCCCCAAGTGGCTAAAATGAACTTAGCAGTGAGTATTTACTTGTGATTCTTTATTTTTTGTCTATTAGTGTAATTGTGTCATTTGTCTGTGAAGGTTCTCAGTCATCCAGGTCATCGTAGTCAAAGGAGCTTACAAAGAAAAGCGTCTGGACTTCTTTAAGTTACTTGAAGATGTTTCACCTCTCATCCAAGAAGCTTCTTCAGTTCTGAGGTCAAATGGTGGAGAGTCCCAGATTTAAACCTAGTGGGAGTATCCCCCCAAAGAGGGACAAAAGGACCCCCTCACATCCTGGGTCATCTGACCTCAGGAATTCGCATGATAAGATGGGGCCAGGTTTCACAATGAGCTCACCCGAATCCCTGGCTGATTGGGACCCACACCCATTTTCACACCTTGGCTCAGGCGATTAGAGGATCACCAGGGGTCCTTTTGTCCCTCTTTGGGGGGTTACTCCCACTAGGTTTATATCTGGGACTCTCCACCATTTGACCTTAGAACTGAAGAAGCTTCTCGGATGAGAGGTGAAACGTCTTCAAGCAACTTAAAGAAGTCCAGACGCTTTTCTTTGCAAGCTCCTTTGACAATTGTGTCATTTGTACAGTTAAACAGAACGTGATTTTGCACACTCAGTGTGACGTCTCAAAATTTCATAAACCTGGCAGAAGATACGTTTTTTTTGTTGTTGTTTTTGTTTATTATTATTATTATTATACAATTTTTGTTATTTGCACCTTTAGTTCTGCTTGCAGTTTTACTGACGCTGATCACCTTTGCCTTAGGGTTAGGCAGACAGCTTATTAGTAGTGAGTTGTTTGTGTGTATGACAGAAGTGGCAAATGGCTTACTTGAGTCTTGAAAGTAGATATCATTGCCATTGTAGGCATTTTTCAGCTTGTTAGTCATCACCCTCAGAGCCATGATCTGCTGACGGATGAGTGTGTCTGGGCGTGTGATGTCAACACCCACTTCAGGGTTATTCACCTGGTTGGTAAGGCCATCCTTTTGGACCTCAGGAAAGTACCTTGATGGAAAAAGAAAAGAAAAAAGAAAACAGCTTTCATTGATACTGTTTTGTTGCTAAACAAAGAAAACCTTTACTTTGTTTAGTTGTTATAGACTGCTTTCTCTGAAATCTCATCAGAAGCATTCACTCAACAAAAACAGAGACAGGCTAAACACGGTCGAATTCCATAAATGTTTTGAGTCATGGGTCCAGTACAGCACTTGGGAATTGCTCTTTGAGGTAACAACAATGTTGGCAAAATGAACATTTGACCCAGTCGTGTAGGGTAATGTTCTGACATTCTTTTGACATATTTCTCTCGGGAAAACGTGTCAGCTGAATGCACTCCTGCTCGATAAATAAGCGGCAGGTCGTCATGTGATGGAATTCCACAGATCATCTGACACAGCAGCAATTGTTCTCCATAAGTCCAGATCACTCTCGAAAATACACACGTCTGAAATTTTGCTGAGGTGAAAGAGGCAAAATTTCACTTCTTTAATTGATGTTGTTTTTTCTACCACTGAACATAGCATTGAATATCAATTAAAACAATTAAAGAAGTTTAAAATATTCAAAATCATATAGTTGATATAACGATTAAAAGCAAAAATCGATTTCTCAGTTAGATCAGTAACGGCTGGGGAATCTGGAGCCCTAATGCAAATGTTAGCTTTTTAAAATGAAACCAAAATAACAGATGAATCTAGATGCTGGTTGAACATTTAAAAACAAAAGAAGAAGAAGAAGAAGAAGAAAAACACAATTTCACAAATATGCCACCAAATTCAAAACGCATGGAATCAAATGATATTTTACACGAGATGAATTGAAACCACATAGAAAAGTTTGTTTTTTATAATGTTTAAGACAACAGCTTACTTTTAGTTCAAATCAAAACGCATGCTAAGCTCTTGCAGAGCAGGTGAAAGCACATAATCTGATTCTTAATTCTAGGCTTAGACTTCTTAATATGAAGCAGGTTGAACAGACTTTGGACTTCTACCCTTTTGTGTTAGCTGGCATTAGCTTCAGGCTCTGTTGCCCTTACCTGCCCTTGGTGTGTCCGTTCCAGCACTCCTCTTCGCTGGCATTTCCAGCGGTCACTCTGTCTTCTACACACATCGCCTCAGGCAGGTTGGACCAAAATTTCTTGAAGTCCTTTAGTTTCTCTTTTATGTCAACCACCTACACAAGGACAGGGGTCATTGTGAGATAGGAAAAAAGCCTCCTGTATAAGTACATGAAGTCTGATTTCCAATCAAGGATGATACATATCATAAATACAGTTTCAGGGATGTTATTGATGTTTTCATATGCTTACAATGTAACATTAATACAGAAAAATCAGTTTCACTTCAGTTCCTCACATCACAGCCCCAAATATTAAACAAAATACGAGTCCAGCAGTACCTACAAGAATAGATGGTCAGAAATATTTACTGAATTACATTTTTATTGCACATTAATATGGCGTTTATTAACAGCTATAAGCTATTCATTATGTTTCAAAACAGTCTTTTTGTATCTAAAAACTCTGCAGAGTTAATGTAATAAAAAAATAGCAGCTAAAGAGAAAATGTCTACAAAGTCAAACTGATTGAAGTAATTACACAAATTGAAGTCAATAAGGCATTATGTCTCCTAATATATGTATGACATATGAAAAAGACAATGTGCTGTTTTTCTAAAAAGTACATGACAGTCCTCTCAAATGCTCCTATTTCTTATTTCTATAGCATCAAATCATAACAACAATTGCCTCAAGGTGGTTTATATTGTAAGGTAAAGCTCCTATAATATTACTATTACTGACAGTCATGATTAGTCATTAAAAAACCAAATCCCACAGTGTTACTAACAACAGTATGCGGCTGTAAAATCATTTGAGAGAAAATATAAACACTAAATTAAACTAAGACATTTCTGACACACAGTGGATGAGAAATGGCAGGTTGAAAACTTGCATTTGAGTGAGATGAATAAAGCTTACTGTTACTCTGGATGCATCTCGTGTGAAAAAGGTAGAGAAGCATTTCACTTTTGCTCACTAACACACCTTAACAAGCTGATTATAAACCTCAGGAAGACATCTTCGCACTTGAACTCGTACCAAACGATTTGGGTTTAATTTTTCCTTCTCTGTTGACTATCAAATGTTTGCATCATGGAAAGGAAGACTATGCAGGCTTGCAGCAATCATTTCAAACTGAATGCCAGACATAAATGCTCCTTTGCATCCCAGCCATGTGACAAAGTCAGATATCGTTTCCTGACTTGAGCCTGTTGAACTCCAATCTTTCATCAAACACACAGAATTTGACATATTTCACTGAAGCTGAGGGAAAGCCTGATAGCAGCAGGTTGGCTCCATTATCTTTTTCCGTCTGACTTGCTGTTGGCTTACGTGAAATTGTAGAGAACCTGAGCAGAACATGAAAGGTGCTGTACTGACTGTGTGACGCTGCTGTAGGCCTTGACACTGCTTTTGATGTGTTAATCCTGTCACACTGATGCCAAAGCACTTGAGCAGCTCTGATACTGCCCAGAGGGTCGAGGCTACACTCAATACAAGAGATTGACTGGCAATGTTTGACTAAACCTCATACATTAAGTTAAGTCTAACAAGTGAGATTCAGTTTTCCTCAGGATCTGCTGGCAAAAAACAGAACCTGTGAAAGTGGGAACTGAACTAGGAATGACACATATGAAAACATTCGATTAATACCTCTATCAAGTATTGTGTGGCCATTATTTCACGTGGATGCAAGTGAAAAGGTATTTTAAGCAGCAGCTAATTTATTATCCTATTTGAAACAGAATTTTAAAAATCTGAAAGATTCATGAACTGAAAAAAAACCCCCTAAAAAGTCTGTGTTAAGTTTGCAAAAGAGAAAGGTTTTGCAAACTTAACACAATTATAAACAAGCCTCTGAGAAAAGTCTGCCTCTCGTCTAACTGGACGTTGCCTATGAACAAATACTACCACTCCAACAAATAACCCTCAAATGCAACTAACTGCAAAGGCCACTAGATGGCAGTATGTCTTTGAGATCTGGTGAGATGAAAGTGAGTAGACGAAAAATCCAGGGAGGAAATGAAAGTGACAAAATAACCTTGCAAATTGAAACTAATTATGTTTGCTAATGAAGCTTCTTTAACATCAAAGTTCAGCTCCATGTGGCCAAACATAGATGGAAGACATGACATCCAAACAGATGTCAGCAGAAAGCCTAATGGAAGACAAAATTACACACACACAAAAAACACACACACGCAGACACATACACACAAAAGACGGTGTAGAAGAAACGCATGTCCCCATGGTATGTGAGGAAGCAGAGCGGAGATATGCGATTCTTTTTATAATCTGCTACCTATTACTGACAGCACTGACATTCTCATTAAAATCACAATGACGATCACAGACACAGCACCTCCCCGGCGCCTCACATCAGGATATTACATAGCATTTGTTTTCAGTGACATCCTAACAAATGACTATTATCATGCTATGTGATAGCTGCTCCAATTCCTAATGACACTAAAGGTGGCATTAGTGTGAGATATCTACAATCTATAATAAGGGCTGATGAGGGAGTTGATAGAAGCATTTACTCAATAGAAGTGCAAGCTGTATTCATTTTTAGATTATTATTCAGTCCCAGGACTTCAATAACTTCTAAATTTAAGGACCATATAAAACACCGACAATACAAGGACCTTAAGATATTAGAAGTGCTGCTAAAAAGACTTATCTTCAAACGCTGCTAACTGTACAGATGTTTTCCACTGAATGATGTCTTCTGAATAATTTCTAAATGGTTTAAATATGACAGATCAGCGCAGAAACGTAGCTCTTGATTTTCATTAAAAATATTTTAAATAATTATTTAAATAAACAGAGCTAAATGAGCCATTTGAAAACCCATTAAACCATCTTCTCCTGCAATGATATATATTTGCTATGTATTCTATAATTTTAAATATACAGTGTATATACTGTCTGCACTGAAAAAAAAAGTGGTATATATAGATATATAGGCATATATTTCCTATTCTTTATAGGCACTATAAAGGTCTTTGAGGCCAATCCTGCAGGGATGTACGTAGCCTTGCTCTTGTTCTGTTTTATGCATCATATCATCTATATTATATATTACTTACAGGAACAGTGCTGTATCTTTATTCACTGATCTACCAGTGATACAGTGTGCAAATGCATGTCTTTAAATGTTTCTTTAACAACTGTAACAGTTTATTAATTCCAATATTGAATTAAGATAAATCCTTTAACTTTGGCAAAAAAAATACACAAATGTGAACTATACAGCAGTGTTATTATTAATGTAGTAAAGCTTATTATTATATACCGGTAACAGCTGACATGACAGCTTATATATTTGGAATATATACGTTGTGCATAATAAATGCATAATACATTTAATGCATATTGCTTCTTGTTGATGAATTCCATGAACGGCGCAAAACCAAACAGGTGCTACTTAGTCCCTCACTCTCTGAGTACTTCCCAACTTCCCAGCTGTGCATGTGGCATTTATCCTCTCCCCTGCTGGTTACTCAGGAGACGTAAATGCATGTAGTTTAACTTTTAAAAGAGGCTTATGAATTTCTTACAGCAACTGGGCACCGGGAAGTTACAAATGTTTCCCAAGCAGGAGTTTATTTGCTGAGCACAATTTAAAGTGGCTGATTAATCCACGTTTGGTGCACGAACGGGTACTTGCGCCCGCAGGATGCAGTATATATACAGCCACAACAAATGGGCCCTGTTTATTGCTCTTAAGATACATGTTGCCCAGTGCAATTGTATGGGGAGGTAATATGTCTTAATTAAAATAGAAACAAACAAACGAAAAATACAATGGAGCTACGTTGCACAAGTGAATAAGCTAAATCAGGATTTGGCTTCAAGATCAATATTCATAACCTTTTTGTAGGTTATGATTTTTTTTATGAATTTGATGACAATAATAAAGTAAAGAGCATGACCAGGTTTATCTTTTAAACATCTTCTCCTTAGCTTAAACAAAAATAATATATAATTATATTTACCTTGAAGCTTAATCATGTATGGAGCACCACTGCAGTACCACTGTCAACTCTCCACTTCCCTCCTCAGACATATTTTTTTTCTTCTTTTACCCCATTGCCCTGTTTCCTGTCATGAACCATATATTTCTTCACTGCGTTGTTCTCTCTCTCTGCCTACTCGCTGTGACTCTGCAAGGTCCCCACTCTTTTTGGTCTTTTTCTGTCTTGCTTTAGTTCTAAATGTAAGTGAAACTTTCATGCCTAGCTGACCCGTGATCTTACAACAGAGCTCCCATTCAAAGGAGATTTGTGGGTAAAGCCTCTGGTGTCTTCCGACTTTGATACACAGAATAAGCTCAGTCTTCTCTATCCTTTCTGTATTGAATCATTTTATCCAAGCTTTCATTTTAATTATTTTGAATTTTAACGAGCACTGTGTGTGTGTGTGTGTGTGTGTGTGTGTGTGCAATGCAGTTGATCATGCATTTATTTAATTGTCCAGTTCTTTTTTGTCTCTTTATAGCTCTTATTTCCACAAGAAAAGATAAGCAGAGATTTTTTTTTAACAGCACCAAACCACAGAAAATAAATTCAGCAACAGCAATGGAAAGTAGCCTGTAATGTATTACAGCTCACACAGCTTAGCGTGCTATGATCCAAACATAACCTCACCTTTAAACTTGCCTTTTTCACCTCAAATGAAATCTGCCCAAACAGCCCGGATATGCGATACAGTGTTTACTCGCTGTAAAAAGCTGTTGGCAAGCTCACGTGGACAAACATGAGGAAATGTTTACAGAGAGTAATTATTTCCAAAAATCAGCCATATGAGCATATGAGATTCCGGTGTTAACGGGCTTAAAGTCTTTGTGTTTGCACACACTTAAAGTGTTTCTTACAATATTTATCACCCATGCTGTTTTTCTGTGCACACAGCTGAGTGTGCAGGCAGACAGATCATAAGTTCTCGTGGCTCTCTAACAGTGTGGCAGCTGTGTGCCATCTTTCAGCTCAGAACAGAAATGTGAGTGAACTATACTTTGACCAGTGGTTTTCAGACGCCCTTGCCTATTCTCAGATCAAAAGCTGACGTGTCGCTGGCTTTGAAGTTGCAGTCACACTCCCAGTGACGG